TCTTTTGGGCTCAAAAGGGTGTGACTTTGCCAATCTGTTTCCCTTTCACTGTCCCTAATGCTTCTTAACCTTTCTACGTCTTCCTTGAGCTCTGCCGCCAGGCACAGCAAGTCATTCACCTGCTCACATCGTACACAGGTGTGACTCACACTGCTCTCTGAAACTGATGCCAGACCGAGGCTCTCCGTGCAGCAGTGACCTGCACAGCTGTATCCTGCACAGAGGGTTCTGTCTGGCTTACAGCATTCCTCCTGGTAGCAGCAGCAGCAACAGTTTTCGCTCGCATAGGTATCTTTGTTGGGTCTAGCTGAGTTGTGGGAAAAAAAAAGAAGGCAAAAAGAAAGCAGGGTGGCAGTGCCCTGCCTGGGCGAACTGCTTACATAGCTTTGAGTTCTTGACACTACCCTACCAGTGGGTAGGCTAGGGGTGCACAAAAGCTTGGGAGGGGACACAGTTGGGCCAGAAGACCCCAACTGACCACAGAGATACTCCATACTGTGTGGTGTCATCATGCTCAGCAGTAAAACCAAGGGGAAGTTTGGCAGGGCTTGCAGCTTGGGGGTTGGCTGTGCTTTGCTCAGTTGGTGGTGAACAGTTGTTTTGATTTGCATCACTTGTCTGTCTGGGAATTTACTTTCCTGCCTTTTTTGTTATTTTTTTTCTCTCTTTATGTTAGAATTTTTAAAAAAAATCGTTTGAATTATTAAACTGTTACTATCTCAACCCACTAGTTTCTTTCTCACTTTTACTCTTCCAGTTCTTCCAACATTGCAGTCAGGAGGGGGAAGAGTGAGGGAATTGCTGGCTGAGGTTAGACTGCCTCAATGACCTTGATCACGGGGTTTCCAAACTAAGGCTGTGAAGTGTTCTGCTGAAGAGACAGCAGTGTAGTGCTAGCTCATGATCAGTGTGATTAAAAGTTAATTGCTGAGGTGTTGGGCTGTTTCTCTTGTTGTATGCACCACTCTAGTGCATAACAGCAGACTTTTGAAGGAAGATCATGCTACTGCATACACATTTCCATTTCTTAAGGGATCGTGTACATGATTTATGTATTTGAGCATGTCTTACATACAGAACAATATTGTAAGAGGAAATATTTTAGTTCTTGCTAAATTTTTGTAATTTTACAAAATTATATTTGTTTTTTTCCCAAGTAATAGCAATTAATTTTTCCTTTCATTGTTACTAGGAAGTTATGAAGTTTGTGTCATCAAACAATTTATCAAATAGGCACTTAGAAGTACAGTGCAGCATTTCTATTAATTAACCAGATGTTAAAAAGACCAGTACAGATGGAGAGGCAGTAGTGCAGCTATTAACATCTTGTGGAATCTGAAGAAGCTTTGAATCTAATGAAACATGAGCAGGCTGATTTTTTTTTCCCTGGAAAGCCTTGATCTGGTTTTAAAAAGTGCTCCAGCACTCAAGAAAATTGAGTTAATCCTGCTGCGAATTCACATAGTTGTCCTGAGAAGCTATTTGCAATATACATTGATTTGAGGTGAGATTATGTAATTGTTGTTAATCTTTGTGATATTTAAAATTCTTAACAATATAAGAAGTTTAAATTTTAGTTTCTTATGCAGAAAGCTGTTAAAATTGTCTTCCTTGAAATCTGTTCAAAATGAAAACTTCATACCATGCTTTTATAAAACTCTCCTTAACACTTTCTTCAGAATGAAGTGCTGCTTTCTAATCTCACTGGATAGCTGTCTGAAAGATGATTATGTCTGTAATTGAAAGTTGTTCTATTATGTTGAAAGGCTTTTTTCCACCTTCGTGCTGCTAATTAAAAAATAATACACTTGGTAATATCCTGTATATTGTATGTTACCTGCAAACTGTCTTCCCAGCTAATGAGGAAGGGCTGCACATCACTTGTTTTGCAAAGAGATCTCTGTGTAGCTTTCCTAGCTGCTTTCTGCATGGATGACGATAAATTGCTGAACTGCAAGGATTAATTAGTTATATCCTTCAAATGGTGGGATTGTAGCCTTCAAAATACTGTAAAAAGTATCTAGGAGACTTTTTTCCCTTCAGATTATGTTTGTCTAATCGCTCTTAGCATTTTTTTCCATGAAGACAGCAGAAGTTCAGTGAACTACAGTCATTCTCTTTAGAGACTAGAAGGTGTCTGTGATGAGAAACATCTCAAGTAGTTATTGGATTCGCTTGAGTTGGGATGTCTGTCATGAAATTCTTTTCAAAATCCTACCGACTACTGAAGAAAACACTATTGCTATTGCTACTGTTGTTAGTACTAGTACCTTAAACAATAGATAAAAATAGTGGTTCTAGGAAGGTATGAAATTAATCAACTTCTGTTTGTTTGTTTCATGTGTAACCCATCTGGCTGCCATTTTTCATTATGCTTCCATATGCGTGCTGTAGGTTTTCATTCATCTTTAAACTTTTTTAGTCAGGACTGTGTTTTAACAGAGAACTGACCGGAGTTTCAATAAGTTTTTGGAAGTACTGTCTCTCCTGATGCAGAAATACTGATCTTCTGTATCTTCCCTCTGGCTGGGTTATTAAAGGAGAGTAATCGCCCACAAATAGAAGTGTCATTGCTTGTAGCTCAGTGCAGACCATTTCAACATATAAAGGAAAGTAGTTGCATGGAAAGTTATCCTGGAAATACTAATCTGCCTTCTAATTGCAAAATTTCATGTGCATTTACTTCTGATCACAGCTTTTTTTATAAACTCAAGAAAAACAATTACACATAGTGTGAAGACTGTTGTGTATGGGAATAAACACACTCTATGAGCTTTGATTATGTGTAGTTGTATCTCAAGAAACTTGTCTATTTGGATTTTGCTAAGTTTTGATAATTTTGATTACAGAAATATAAAGCTCAACCTAACTCTGGTAATTGCTTGAATTTCTACTGTATAAACTTTTATGTCAGCAGGCACTTTCACATATCTTATACCTGGAGTTAAAGTAGCATACCAATTCTGACTGAACTAATAAGTCAACATTTCACTTCATATTTGTTTGGAAGTGACTCTTGCAGTTAGTTATCTGAAACTGTAAGGTACGTCCTGCTTTTAGCTGGGACAGAGTTAGTTTCTTCTCAGTAGCTGGTGTAGTGTTTTGGTTTATGTTGACAACACACTGATGTTTTGGATTTTTCTGCTAAGCTGTGTTTATCTTAAGGACTCTATGTTTTTTGGTTTTTTTTCCTTCTTTCCCATGCTTTGCCAATAGGGAGGTACACAAAAGGAACTGGGAGGGAGCATAACCAGGCCAGGTGACCCGAACTGGCCAAAGGGATATTCCGCACCCTAGAATGTCACGCCCAGTATATGTTGGGGGGGGCAGGGGGTGGGCTCAGACATGGGGCGGATCTGGGTCTGACATCCATCTGCCTGTGGTGAGCAGTTGTACATTGGTACGTTTTATTTTTATTTTCCCTCTTATTTTCCTTTTTATTATAATTACTATTATTATTGTTTACCGTTAGTATTGTAGTTCAGTTTGTTTTTGGTTACTGAACTGTTCTTACCTCAACCTACATGTTACTGCATGGTGCTCATTTATTTGCTGGCCGGGTTTAAACCATGGCAAGACTAACCTAGATTAATTTTTTGTACTCATTCTCATGTATAATATGAGACTCTAGGCTAACAAGAAGGAAGAAAGAAACTGAGAATGTGTTTTGTATTTGGTGGCTTTGCTAAGTTCACAGCTCAAAAGACAAGTTTGAAAAGGTGACTGCTCACCTAAAGTTTCATTAAAGTTAGCGAAACTGGGTCTTGGCTAAAACTGTTTCCTAGGTGGTAATTTCAGTGGAAGCATTGCAGCTGTTTGGGAAGTGGAAAAGAGTAATAGATAATAGTTGTGATGCATGAGTGCCTCCCTGTGTACAGAACCAGCTAGAGCACCCATCGGTGATTTAGAACAGCATTCTCATCTTACATCTTATCTGGTCTTTTGTATTAATGTGCACTAGTACATCTGATCTCCAAGAGACCAGTTAATTCTCAAGATTTTGCATCCTGAGGTGCACTAAAATCTCTTCTTACTAACTGGATTGCCCAGTGACAGGTGAAATTGTAGAAAATGTGAACTTTATTTAGTGTAGTACATACACTGGAAATAACAAAATAAGCCATTTTCATTTTCTGAATAAGGAATATGAAGGAATAATGAACTTGTCTGGGTCTGGACAAATATTTGCAGCTTTTAATGGAACTTTCTCTACTTAGGAACTGACCCTTCTTGATTTATTTTTTAGTCTCTACTGAAAACATTACTACTCTAATTCTGCCTCACTTTTTAGTCTCTTGAAGACAACTTAGTCTTCTGCAGTAATGCAGCATTACCTCCTGTTTTGTTGTTTCAGGAACTTCAGAATTCTTTTGATAATATTGAAATAGAAAAAATCCAAGTTCTGTCTGGCTTTACTCTCTTTCTCTCTCTCGAATTTGCAAATCAGTGCAAAGGAGCTTGTAAAGGAAGAGTGAAAAGAAATAAAAATAAAAGTCCTTAAGATAAACATGACTTAACACAGCGATGGTTTGGATTTTTCTGCTGTCAACATTGGCCATTTGTAGTGTAGCAGCTGTGTGAATAGTTTACTGACAAACTTTACTTTTGTCAATAATCGAGTAGAATTCCAAATATTAAAGAAAGTTCTATCACTGACTACACTGTGCATAAAGTAATTCATCAAAGAAGTGTAGAAAGGATAATCCTGAATAGTATGTGTAAAACAAAATTCCCAAGTTTCTTTTCCCATATCTATTTTTGGTCAAATGAAAAGGACCAAAGGATATGTTCATTGTTTGACAATTTGTTTTCAAAGTGGAAAAGGATTTCCAGTGTCATCTCTGCAAAAGCCTGTTACTTTAGAAAAAAAAAAGTAGTGAAAACTATATAAATGACTGAGATAAATTGCCTGTTTTTACTGTATAATTTTGATAATGATCGATGGATTTCTTCTGATGTCTTATCCAATTTTCTATTTGTTAGGCTTCAGGCTCGAATTGCTCACAGAATCCAGGAACTGGAGAACTTGCCTGGTTCCCTGCCTCCTGATCTACGAACCAAAGCTACAGTGGAATTGAAGGCACTTAGATTACTGAATTTCCAGCGCCAGGTAATGCCTTTTACTTCAGGAACATTTTAATAGAGGTGACAACAAACATGTTCAAGTAGCAAAGAGTGAACTGGCAAGAGATTCTGCAGCAGCACTAAGCCTAAGCACGTTTTGTATGAGAGCAAATTTAACCAACAAGGAAGTCTCAAAAATGTTTTTGCTTTGATAATAAAAATATGCAAGTGTTCTTTTTGGTTCCTGCTTTCTTCCAGTGTAAAATGTTACCATAGGCTTGTGTCTTTCATAATGAAAGTGGCATTGGTACAAAGACAAAAGTGCTTGACAGGCTACAAGCTGATTTTTGGTGCTCAATAGACAACCTCTTTCTGGACATACTTCATATTTACCATGAGTTTTAGGAAGAGTTCTGTGTTGGTATAGTGCATGGTATTTCATTTTCAGGATTTGTGCTGTGGCACAGACTTGAAAATTAAGATTACATGATCATGCGTAAGATTGAAGTTGGATGTCGAATGCAGGTATCAGCAAATGAATTTCAGAAAAGGAAGCACACTGCCAGACTCTTATGGGCCTCTTGCCGCTGGCCTTTACAGCTAGTTTGGAAGAGCAAAGATGCAATTTGGCAGGTCAAGCAAAAATTCCTCCTGACAGAAGCCTTGGGAGTTATGTTAGGATGTCAAGTCTTCCTTCCTTCTACTCTTGGCACTCCTTTGTAATTAAGTTTTAACAGAGGTCAACTGAAAAGCAGCAGGCTCTCCCTGCTGTACTCCTGGGACTATGGCAATACTGTTTCAAGCCCTTAACATTTATCTCTCCCACCTGTTTTCTGTGCAGCTGGCAATGAAACAAGTTGTCAGCTATATTCAGGTCCAGCACTAGAAGATTTATTTATGTATGTGTTTCTATTGTGGTTTACTTTGATGGTGCAACATCTTGGCTAACCCCTTTCATTGCAGCAGGACAGTAATTTCCAGCATTTTGTAAAGAGGGAAGAAATGATAATTAAGGTGATTAACACTCCTGTCCATTCTATGGAGGCTTAAGTTTTCTTTTGGGAAACAGACGTAGCTGCTGCAACTGTATTTCAAAACTGTTATGAAAAGGGAAGAGGGGGCTGGAACGTATTTTGGACTGTTAGTGTTTAATCTGGCATAACAGTGTTTAAAGCTTTTTCTCTGTGTATTAAAAATTACTATATTTTTAAGTGTTTTGTTATACTTTTTTTTTCCCCACTGGTAGCTAAGACAAGAGGTTGTGGCGTGCATGCGTCGTGACACAACACTGGAGACAGCACTGAACTCCAAAGCCTACAAGCGAAGCAAGCGCCAGACTTTGAGGGAGGCCAGGATGACAGAAAAGCTTGAGAAACAGCAGAAGATAGAACAGGAGAGGAAGCGTAGGCAGAAGCATCAGGTATTTTAACTTACTAGGTGTTCGCAACTTGCTTTGCTGTGTGCATCTTCTCTAGTACATATTTTATTTACCTTCGGAGTTTTTCAGATTAAAAGAATTATAGGTGATGTGATAAGTAACTGGAAAACTGTAAGAGTAGAATTTCAATATTCTTAGGAATATAGAAATTTCAAATCCCCTGCTATGTCGAACTGTTTGCACTAACTTGTTTCTCTTTCTAGGAATACCTGAAATCTATAAGATTAGAATTTTGATATTCTCAGGAATACAGAAATGTCAAATCCTGTGCTGTGTTGAACCGTTTGCACTAACTTGTTTCTCTTTCTAGGAATACCTGAATAGCATACTGCAGCATGCTAAAGACTTTAAAGAGTACCACCGGTCAGTCGCTGGGAAAATTCAGAAACTTTCTAAAGCTGTGGCCACTTGGCATGCCAACACTGAACGTGAGCAGAAAAAAGAGACTGAGAGAATTGAGAAAGAAAGAATGAGAAGACTAATGGTAAGGAGTGGAGGAAGGAATATGGTTGCTTTAGTTAAAATTAGATACTGTTTCCTTTCGGTATCCTTATACAGTCTCAGCCACACCCATGTGTTCCCTGTGCGAAATACTCTAATGCAAAAAGTATAAATCTAAAACTGCTCTAGTTTGGTTTGATGTTTCTGATGATTAATGTGACACTGTTCAGTTTAACCTATAGCTCTTTCTTTTTTTGATAGGAATAATTGGGGTGTTTTACTAGCATGTAAACTTAGCACAGCCACTTCTGTGTAACATCAGCTTAATTTCATTAGCTTCATATGCTCACACTGTTACATAATTGCAGGGCTATTAGTCCATTTTACAAATACTGGACTGTGTTTTATTTCTAGGTTTACAGTTTTGAAGATTCTGTATGATACTTCGTGGCATTACTCCACAACTTTTGCATATAGCGGATTCCACATGCAAAAATACCTACCAATAGCAGTAATGAATGTATCCTGAGTATGACTAGCAGTCAGTTCTACCCATTAGTAGTACTTCAGGATCACAGTTTTCCCTTCCTTACACCCACAGAATATCAGTTGTATCATTCTAAGGACAGAGTAAAGTAGGTTTATATATACTCGCGTCTTTTCAGAATGCTGTGGAACCAGTCAGGGGGCTGACTATGTTTCAGGAGTTAAAATAATGCTGGAATTTTAAGTGTAGACAGATCAGTGTGTATGTACAAGTATGTTAGCAACTAATGTTGGAAAAAAATTCTTCAAGACATTGTGAGCTCTTTTCAAACATTTTATTAACACTTCATTACTATGGGATGGAAAGGAAATTGACAAGCTTATTTGTAACCTTCTGGCAAAAAAAACAGGAAGTATCTAATGTAGGTGCAGATGTAATGAAAAATTGTAGTCACGGTCCAGTATCTGTTCCCACCATGAATATGGTCTGAACAGTTTGGGTATAAAAATTACAAAATGAAACATACAAATAATTAAATATAAAGAGGTTAACAACTTAAAAATAAACATTTGTGCAAAACATAAGAAGAGAATAACAAATATGTAGGCCCTAAGGCATTTCTTAAAATTATGTAGTAATCTGCATTACAGAGCTTTTGTATAATTAGAGATAATCACCAGCACATGGCCAACTTGGCTCATAAAAATGTTAATTATTGGCAAAAAAAGAGCTTCTTGTACACTGTGAGGTTGAGCTTATGTCAAGTCTAACATGCAGTATGATAAATAGTAAAGATACCCACTTTTGAAAAGTATGGAGTAGATTTGAATGTCCAGAAGTGGCACACAATATCAGTGCTTCCAGATTATTAGTGCTTTCTCCTAAGATGCCTTCACCAAGACTGGTTAATTTCTTACCGTACATACAGCATGTCATAGTATTTCCAGTTTAGGAATTTGCACCTATTGCTCTATGAAATTCTTCTGCAAAAGCAAACTGTGTGTTACGTTAGTGGGGTTATTTTGCCTATTTAATTTTAGTCCCGTTGTGGTAAATTTTGAATTTGCGGATGAGTGCTAGGGTTTTTTTCAAACATCACCTCATCTCATATGCCTGGTAGGGTCTAGGAAGATGTGCTGTGTGTAAAGCTTTTTTCGTATCTTCTCAGGAATGTTGTAGTAATTCTACAAATTTAATTTACTATGATTAGAAATGGTGATTGTGTCACAGCTTGATAATACTAGTATATGTATGCCACATGCAAGAATGGGCACTAGTATGATTTTAAAAAATAGTGTCAAGACAAAGCTAAATACCTTGTTTGGGTTATGAAGACTGTGTATTCAGTAGTATTAGTAACAGCAATAATAAGAACAATAACAATAATAATAGTTATTGTTATTATTATTATTTATTTTTTCTGAAAACCTGAGTTTTGAGTGTTGAAGTTGTGATGGCTTGAACATTACAACTGAATTTTGCAAGCACTTTTGCAAGCTCAATTTAAACATACAGCTGTTCTTGCTAACTTTCTGCAGTTCTGGCATCTCTCTAGAAAGGCAGGAGATTTTTTGTATCTGCCAGACTGCTATCTCCCACAGAATTCTCCTGTAGAAGCTGGCTGCTCATGGGATGGACAGGTGCATTGTTTTCTGGGTGAAAAGCTGGGTAAAAAAAATGGCTGGATGGCCAGGCCCAAAGAGTGGTGGTGAATGGAGTTACATCCATTTGGTGGCCAGTCACAAGTGGTGTTTCCCGGGGCTCAGTACTGGGGCCAGTTCTGTTTAATATCTGTGGGTGATCTGGATGAGGTGCTCTAGGGCACCCTCAATCAGTTTACAGAGGACACCAAGCTGGGCCCGAGTGTTGATCTACTGGAGTGTAGGAACGCTCTGCAGAGGGATTTAAACAGTTTGGATCAGTATGTTGAGGCCAATGGTATGAGGTTCAACGAGGCCAAGTGCCAGGTACTGCACTGGGGTCACAACAACCCCATGCAATACTAAAGGCTTGGGGCACAGTAGTTGGAAAGCTGCCTGGTGGAAAAGAATCTGGAGGTGCGGGTCAACAGCAGCTGAGCAGGAGCCAGCAGTGTGCCCAGGCGGCCAAGAAGGCCAATGGCCCCTTGGC